GAGTTCCCTCTTTTGGTGAGGTGAAAGCTCATTTTCTTTCATTCATCTTCTGCCATTATGTAGCAGAAACCTCATAACACATAACCACTAATTTCTACCTAATACAATAAATTTTTCTACCTTACACATTGACTAATTTGTGCAACTCCATGTGGTTGTCACTTAGCTGCTACTGTGCTGTTGTTGCAGCTTTCACTTCTTTTCATTTGCTGCAACTGTGTTGCAGCTTTGACACTACAACTCCAAGAATACCTTTAACTTATTTCCGCTCTCTGGAGGAGTAAGGTAAGTGAAAAGGGTTTACTTTTTTGAATATTTATTCTAATTCTTAATGGTTTCTTCCTTGTTACTTCAACTTATTTGCCTAAACCAGAAACTGCTGCAAAACACAGCAAAACTCTATTCAGATTGCATATCTTCATTGATTCAACAATTGCTCTATCTGGCAATCTGCTTTCTGAATCATTCTCAAATACAGTGGAAAAAATACACAAAGCAGTAAAGTAGTTAGATGATGCATACCTCAAATCAGCTCTTGCCTACAAGGAGAAAGTGCCTTCAAATTAAACAAATGGTTTCTCCGGCAGAAAATAACCTCCGATGCCGAATCCTTTTTATCGTCAGCTGGTGGAGGTTACCCATACATGATGCAGATTTTGGGTGGGGTCGTCCGATTTTCATGGGAAGGGCAACAGTAGGTGAAGGAATGTCCTATGTATTACCGAGTGCAGTGGATGATGGTAGTTTGGAATTGATGATAGGCTTAGAGACCTCCCACATGAAGCTCTTTCAGAAGCTTATTTGTAACTAAAGATCCCTGATGGCTTCCTAACCATGAGGATGCATTGTCTAAGTAGAAAAGATTCTCTACAAGAAACTATGTTGCAGCAAATAACCATATTATCCTTGCCAAATCACTTTTTATGATTCCAGAAGCAACCATCTTTTGAAAACAATTCTAGGTACAAAGTAATATTGCCTCGAACTTAAGAAACAAGCCTAGGATAATTATGTGAAAAATGATCACGCAAACGAAAGTGCTAGGAGTCAACTAACATCATTGCACCATGCATGTCATGAAAGAAACAAAATGCAAAATATACTTCAACAGATTTCGACTGTACAAAAAGGAACTCACTTAACTACCTACAAAGACAAGTAATATAGACTTCACATATAGCTTCTATGCCCAAACATTTCTTCGTGCTTGAGAACTACCACTTAAAGCAACTTGCATAAGAGAAAAGCAAGCACCTGATTACAACAAACAACCACCATTGATTGAGACAAACACCAATTAAAAAGGCTATCTTTGAAACTAAATAACAACAAGTTCACAGGGAAAGTTGGAAAACAGAAAACAAAATCATGACGTGTGTTCGATAAGCAATTGAAAATTCAAGAAATTTCCATTAACTTAAATTTTTACTGACTATTTAAACTTCATCACTCATTCTTATTTATGATTTAAAATAAAATTTTAATTATTCAAAATTTAGTTAATAAATGTGAATTTTTTTTAATGTTTACGTTAACAGAGGACCCAGTACGTACGGTGGGACCGTCTATAGGTGTCAAACGTACGGAGGAGGACCTTGCAGGGCCATGGTAGAGTGCTCCCTCGGCCATAGCCACGTCTGTGACAGGTCGGAAGCCCAGATATGGACAAGTACGCGACAGCTTTCCAAGCAGACCAGTACCATCACGTTGGACGACTTCCTCACTCCAAATGGTAAAAGATTTTCTCTCCATTTTCCTCTTCGTCTCGTCCTTTAGCCCCCCCCCATTGCAATATTACTGACTTCAGTGTGTTGGAGTGGATACCCGCATCAATTTCCAGCCTCACCCATACCCGCATCAATTTCCAGCCTCACCCACAAAGACATCAATAAAACTTTCCTTAAACCACCAGATATTTCAATTCTACCCACTGCAGCCAATCGTAGATTATCAGTTACATATTACAACCAAGTTAATGATACAATTAAATTTCACTTGAATTCCCTTGTACATAGAAAAATATTGAAGTTTTTGATAAAAATATTAATTTTTTAATATATT